AAAGGGATCCAAAACGCAGCACAAGGGATAACCTAGTCATAGTCTGCAAGACATGGATATGGCAGAATCAGTCTCATACCAGTCAGGCTCGTCCTGCCTGTCACACGCCGCGCGCTTGCTTTGGCAATCCAATTTAGACATGTTTCAAACTCGTCAGCATGTCCAGGTGCTGAAGTCTTTGTGCTTCTCGAATTCAGTTCAGGATGAAGATCGTGGTGAATATGGAACGTGATGGAATAGATAAATGCATTTGGCAACGATGATGAGAATGGCAGACAACACCACTTCTCTCCTTTCAATACTTGATTCTTCATTGAAGAGATTATCGTCCACTTTTACCCGCTCGAATGGTCGATCTCACCCAATATGTGCTGCCTTTGTCAGTTTTTACCATGTACCTTGCATAACGTCGGCTAACTTCTCCAGCGTTGGCTCCGAGGCTCTGGGTAACGTCTTTCCTGGCGTCCTCCGACCATATGGTATGGTTAAGCTGGGACCAGACCTTGCCTGGGACCAGGTCAATGCCTATGCTGGCTACCTTCCAGATGGGGAATTCACCGGCTTCAGCATGATGCACTTATCAGGGACTGGTGGAATGCCTATGTATGGAGTCGTGTCCCAATTACCCGTCCTTGGACCAATCGCAAATCCGTTAGATGTGAGGGTAGGCAGAGCGACTGCCGATGTGGCCGAGGTTGGTTATTACGGCGCAAGAACCTCAGACGACGTCCTTGTCGAGCTTGCGGCCACAGAGCACGCAGCTATGTATCAGTATACATTTCCTGAGGATCAGAGTGGTCAAAATAACGTTGTGGTCGACCTCTCTCACAGGCTTCCATCATTTCGTGGTTTTGGTCTCAAGCAGAGATTCGAAGGAGGAGATATGACCCTCAAATTCGGACGGTCAGTACGAAGGTAGTGCTACTTACAGTAATGGCTACAGTATGGCGTCTCCATGGACAATCTATTTCTGTACGCTACACCTACCTCGCTGGCTCACTCTGCTTTTTCTACTAACTACTTGAGGTGGTATCTTTGACCAGCCTCCTACAAGGGTCCGAGTCTTTGAAGGGATGACAGACTCCAGCAACGATTTACATTTCTTCCGGAACGGAAACTTAGTCTCGTCAGTTGGTGTTCGGGTTGGCGCAGTCTTCTCTTTCGATCAAGCCTCCATTACTTGCAGAGTCGGTATTTCTTTCATCTCCTCCGACCAAGCTTGCGATTCCGTGCAGCGAGAAATTCCAGCAACCTCCACTTTTAAAGACATTGTCGATGAAACCAAGGAGGTCTGGAACAGTGATGTTCTAACCAAAGTCACAACGACAGAGACCAATCTTACTGATTTACAGAATCTCCACACCTCGCTCTATCTCATGCACCAACTGCCGTCGAACCGCACTGGAGAAAACCCCAGGTGGGAATCAGGAGAGCCCTATTTTGACGACATCTTTACGATGTGGGATCTCTTCCGTACCTCGATACCACTCATGCAGATTCTACAACCAGAGGCCCACCAACAACTCATCCAGTCTCTGGTCGATGTCTGGCGGCATGACGGGTATCTGCCTGACGCGCGCTCTGCCAATTACAACGGTCCTGTTCAAGGTGGTTCAAACGCAGACATCGTCCTGGGCGATGCATACGTGAAGGGTGTCAGAGGCGCAGTAAATTGGAAAGATGCATATGCAGCTATGGTCAAAGACGTAGAGGTCACGCCATCAAACAACTTCGATCCTCGTGCAAATGACTCGTCGACTAAAGAGGGTCGTGGTGCGCTGCCTGATTGGCTTGGTCTGGGCTTCATCACACCGAACTTTTCGCGATCTGTCACTCGAGGCATAGAGTATGCCATTGACGATTTTGCCTTGTACCAAGTGGCTTTGGGAGAGGCGGATGACCAGGAAAGCACGAAATATTGGCTGCGTTCCCAAAATTGGAGAAACCATTGGAATTTAGCTGCAACGTCACTCGGTTTCCAAGGGTTCATCGGTCCACGAAACCGAAGCGGGTTTCTTCCTCACGATCCTCTTCAGGGCGGTGGCTACTGGGCTGATCCTCTTTATCAAGGCTCAGCTTGGGAGTACAGCTTCAATCCTCATTATGACATAGCTGCTTTGGTGGGGCTATGTGGCGGCCCACAAAGCTTCATCTCCAGGCTACGCATGTTGTTCGAGCATCAAATCGACCCTGAAGACCCGAATGTCAGTATGTATAGTATGTCTTGACTCTCGTCCACTCTTGCTCCAACGGTATGCTCAGTTTTTGTTGCAGATCCCGCAAACCAAGTCAGCTTCGCCACTCCATACCTTTCCATTTTGCTGCTCGACCTGACCTATCTACCTCCGTGTCTCGAAAGACCGCCCGCGAGAAATTCTCTCCTACCCTAGAAGGACTTCCCGGGAATGCCGATTCTGGCGCTATGCAAAGCTGGTTGTTGTGGAACATGATCGGACTTTTCCCGTTGCCAGCTCAGACAACTTTCCTCATCCACTCCCCCTGGTTCGAACATCTCAGCATCGATCTTGGCAGCGGAAAGAGACTGGTGATAAACAGTACCGGAGGTGATAAGGACACCTCCATCCACGTTCAGAACCCCAAAGTCAACGGCCAGGAATGGCACCGGTCCTGGCTAACGTGGAACGATATCTTCGCTAATGGTGGAACCCTAGAATTCGAGCTCGGCCCAAATTACAACAAGGAATGGTTCGATACAGACGCCCTACCTCCTAGCCCTGCCAGTGCCGCCTCTCCTCCATCAGCGAATATGCAAATCCCTTTACAGACGGTGCAGGTTCGCGCGCCGCCTCCAACTGGGGAAGGTCTTGCAATCACGCCAAAGACACAAGAAGAACGAGACAGGCGTCGCTGCTATCCGCTTTTGAGTCTGCTCATCCTACTACCTATCGGAGCGTTGGGCATCTATACCTTTTGGCGCTCACGAATGGAGGTCAAACATAGAAAATTCCCCGCTGCACCGCCACAGGAAAGTACAGGGTTCGTTCATGCCGCGGATGTCCAAGGTGTATCCAACGAACCCCCAGAGGGCAGAGATACCACCGATCCTCCCTCCGACGTTGGGAGCGCATCCACAACCAACCTGCGCTCCTGATCTGGCTTCGGCATAAGCTCCTCGACCGAATCCGTAGTACGCTTAACAACAGTGACGTCCTTGCTTCTAGCATCCTTGAGCGGACCATCATTGTCTGTCTCATGAGCTTTGGCATTAAAGAGAACCCTTTCTTGACCCCACCCCCTATCTCACAATCATGGGTCAAGAAGTCCGAGGTCATGGAACACATCATCTGCTGAAAATCAGCCACCACCTCCTACTCGCGAAACTGCAGCACACACGTCAACGTCATTGTGAATGTGCTTCCCAGCCGGAGGTCCCACATTCCAAGACAGTCTACGGGGACAGTGAGGAGGGGGGAGATGCAGCTTTACCTGCCAGCCTGCAGGCAGAATGAACGACGGGCAGAGAGGCATCAGTATCATTGGTCTACGAGCGGTCCCTGGCCGCACCCTTTTCGGGAGGGCGAGATGGAGAGGGTGGAGGGGTAAGAGCACGAATCCGAGGCATAACGAGGTAGAGTAAGAGTAGCTGGCGAGTGGCCTCACCATTCCATTGTGGTCTTCTTTCCCTGGTGACCAGGCTATCTGTAACCGGCGTATCGGTGGATAGGCTGTCGAGAAAAAGAGAGAGAGAGAGGGGTGCAACGTATGCAATCGTATGCTTACTTTCTATCCAATCTACCTTATGTTGCTTTTCGTTTCCAGATCTTCATGAATCCTCTTGTCAATCAGGCGGTGCGTTTCACCTTCCCAGCGCCCCATAAAAAAACAATAACAATAACAACAACCAAGATATAATTCTGTTTTTGACACATGTTGTCGTAGTGATATATGCTGGCCCCTTCCACCCTCTTTCAGACCAAATGCATGACACGCCCCATCTCTGACTAAGCCCAGCCTGCAAGCAAGGAGCCGCAGTGCCGGTAGCACGAATACAGCACCATCCCTACATGTATATTCCGCGAGGCAGCCATGATTCGTTTCACGAAATTGTCCTTTTTGGCGGAGCCGGCGGCCAGGTGAGGTATGGATGCCCAGATTACCCTGCGTTTTGCCTGGGGACTGTGGGAAGAGAGATAAGTATTCGGGCCTTCATACATTATCGTTCTCGATATGTGTTGTGCGAACCACAGCTATCAATATTCGAGGTCCGCGCAAGGAGGAAGTAGCCATAAAAGGCCTCCGCGGGCACAGCACGGGAAGACATGGAAATTAAAAGAGAACGGCATGACGGAAAAGAAGGTTTAGCGCCGTGTCTTTCTGCCTGGTTGCTTGCTCGCTGTAGCTGGTGGCGTGGCAGCAGGCGGTGATGCTTTCCTCGAAGAAGAAGAAGAAGAAGTAGCCTGCTGCTGCCAAGAAGGAGGATTCTCTGGCGCAGGAGACAAGGAATAATCGCCGCTCGTCGAAGGAGAAGATTGGTCCCTTCCTGATGAGGCGGAGGAGTAGTCGGTCACTCTTGCTGATGAGGAGGAAGTTTCGCTGCTGCTTGATGACTCTGGGTTGAGGTTGCGGGGCTCACTTTCCTCCTCTGTCGATGGTAGCGTCCTCTGTACTTTGGCTGGAGGCATACATGCCAAGACCTCTGCTGCAAATGTATGTGGGAGTGGTGGACCTGTTGTGGATTTACTTCTCGCCGCTGACAGGGCTTTTGATGATGCGCCTCGAGCGGGTATGCCCTTTGCCCTCATATGTTTTTCTGCCGCACGACCGAGGGGTGCCCGTTGTGCTAATTGAGATGGTCTTGGTCGGCGTGGCGCTGCTGTTCGTGCTGTTGGCTGAGGTGTCGCTGTTGAGCTTGGTGAGGTACCTGCCGCTGGAAGAGATGGCCCTGGTATACTCACAAATGGAGTGCCTGCTGCTACATAACGTGGAGTTGCTGAGATGGTGGATGGTGCAGTATTCGCAGGAACATGTGGCGCTAGCGAGCTTACCGATGGTGTATCTGCTGCTGGAAGTCGTGGCCCTAGTATACTCACAAATGGAGTGCCTGCTGCTACATTGCGTGGAGTTGCTGAGGTCGTGGATGATAAAGTATTCGCAGGAACATCTGGCGCTGGCGAACTTACCGATGGTGTGTCTGCTGGTGGCCCTGGTATACTCACAAATAGAGTGTCTGCTGCTACATAACCTCGAGTTGCTGAGATTGTGGATGGTGAAGCACCCGCAGGAACATGTGACGCTGGCGAGCTCACCGATGGTGTACCTCCTGCCGCAAGACTTGCCGCTCGTGGGCGGGCTACCGGTGTAGTAATTGTGGGTCGATGTAATGTTGGTGAATCTGTAGCTGATGGTTGAATCGTCCTTGCCAAGCCTGCTGCTCTTAAGCCAGCTAATAGTTCATCCGCTACCGATTGACGTGTTGCTGACGAAGCTGATGCCTCTACATCCGCTACAGGTCGATGTCTTGCTGACGAGCCTGTCTTTGCTGCATCTACGTCTGTTGAAGACAGTAGTGAAAAGCCTGCTGCCGGCCGTATTCTCCTGTGATGTACCATCAATGGACCTGGTGCTGATGACCGTGCTCCTGGCTTATCGCTTGCAGACGCCTCTTTCCTGTAAACGCGCACATCTGCTGGCGAATATCCTCTTGCGACTATTCCTTCTCTAAATCGACGTAGTTTGGGTATATCTCCTTGTGAGAGGTTCGCCGCCGCTATCTCTGCTGTTATCTCATCCACAGTGGGTAATCTGTCCATACTTAATCCCCCCAATTGAGGATCTGGCGGCTCAGATGGAGCAGATTTACCCCGGCAAGACCTAAGCGTCGAATCCACCATGGATGCTACTTTGGAAATGTCTGCTATGCTTGGAGAAATCTCGTGCATCATCCGACACGTCCAAGTAGACCATTCGTCATCAGGAACAAGTTTGTTTGTGTTGAGCACCGTAAGCCCCTGGAATATGAATGCTTTATTGTTGTCCGCCATCACGTTTTTCAGAAGGCGGAGAGCTAGACCCATATGTGCCGCCCCAATAGTTGAAATGAGCTCCGCGAAGGCAACGGAGCAGTCGGTCAACGACTCCCACGGTATAGTTGCCGGACCATTGGGTATACGATCGCTGACGTAGACTAAAGTTCCCTTATCGTGTTTCCGAGACCTCATACCAAACATCCAAAGTTTGTCACCTATCTGCATCCTGCGCTGTACGATATAAAGGTCCATCACATGAGGTTGCGACATTGTGAAAAAAGACGTAAGCGGTAGGGTGTAGGATGTGGGTGATCTGCGATAACTAAATCAAATATCTGTCTTAGTTCTCGAAGAGGAGTATGAAGGGTGTTAAAGGTGAGGAGAGTGGTATTCTAACAACATTAGTCAGGAAGGCTTGTGGCCTTTGTAAAGAGACGCCGATTCATGTTTGACACGTTTTTAGGTCAAGAAACAGAAACAGAACTTGACGCTAAGGATGAGCCTGAACACTGATGAAACATCCGATCTGATTAAAGGTTGTAGATCTGAAAGGAAATGATTTGGCTCAACGAACGCTTGCTATTTCTCTTGCCAAATAGCATATCCGCAAAACAATCTTGTTCTGGCTCATTGTTTTGCATTGAGAGGCTAGATGTGGTGCGAACTTCGGCTCCATTGTGCTCCACTAAAACACGGCAGCAATGTACTTTGATAATGTATACTCGAACCTTGACAGGCTGTTTCATGAAAATGGCCGGCAAGGGTCGTCCAGAACTGGTTCACAGGAGGGGCGACGAAGCGGACGTGGCTGGATTCTGACACAGGCACTGTTCGGGCGACGAGATTTGTACGGTAGACCTTCTCGACGCAGATTTTGGTATTATCCTGGAAAGAAAAGGCCGACCACGGGGGCCGAGTCGTAGGCGAAACATTGCGCGAGTTCGTTTCACTAAGGTATCAAGCCCTAGTGCTGGACGTGAAGGGAACACCTGTCATGTTCCATGTGGAGTCGAGAGTCAGTCGGCTACTGTGTACTTATACTTCATTGTGGAGTAAAATCAGCTCCAGCGTATCAACTGGTGGTCTTACACAGAGTAATGACTAGAAAGTCATGTTCGGATGAAATTGGGCTGGATTTACGGAGTACTACGAACATAACCGGCGCCAAGGCCCTATCAGAACTAGTACCACTAGTTAGTAGCTAGCATGTCAATTGGATTAGCTTTTCCCATATCACGTGATACCGCCCTATTGGTCTTGGCAAAACTGCTCCCTCCAAACGAACTGTGAATAGTCAGTAAGAATAAATTGAGGTGGATCTCTATATTATTCTCAACTCTCCCTCGGCATACTCGCAATGTCGACACTGTCATTGGGCGCTGAAGAGCTCGATGACTTGACCTACTATGCCCGCACCGGCGACTTAGATGCCCTCAAAGCCACCATCACCCACATCTCGAGCTCATACTCCTGCCCCCAGGACACGGTTCTAGCAGCTACTCTGGATGAGGATGACGACAAGCCTGAGCTGAGTTCGGGTTGCTGCCTCCTTCACTGGCCCGCCGCGAACGGGAATGAGGCAATTCTGAGCTACTTACTATCTCTCCTTAGCTCGAAGCCTGACTCCACTGGTGGGCCAGTGAAATCTACTTCCACTTTGATCAACCACAGAAATAAGAATGGCAATACGCCCCTTCACTGGGCGGCTGTTAATGGTCATCTACCATGCGTCAAGGCATTGGTGAACGCTGGCGCCGATCCACTCATCACTAACAACGCGGGTCATGATGCCCTGTACGAGGCGGATAGCAGTGCGAAGGAAGGTGGAAGAGAAGTTGCGGAGTGGATACTGGCCAACTGCGCCGGATTAGAGAAGGTGTCAAATGGAGAAGTCACAGGTGCAGAAACTGTCGCACAAGATGAGGGCGAAGCGGATGACTTGATGGATGATTTGACCAACGAAACGTGAACATGGCCCGTCGAAAGGCGCAGGAACACATATGTTGAAGCGATGACATTGCGTGGCGTGGTAGCAAGCCTAGTTAAGGCATTTTAGGGTGTCATTGCTCCTTCAGCTCCAAGTCACCTTCAAGAGTTTTCCGCGATCGTGGAGCTACAGCTCTCCTAATTCAGCTGTCCTAACCGGCTAGAGCAGGAAATCGACAGGCGCTGCAGATGAATTAGACCGGAACCCAAGGATGCAAGGTCGGTTGAGATGGTCTGGCAATGAAGCTCCAACATGAAGCTGGGGCAGAGCCAAGCGCCATGCTGCCAACAAATTCGGCTTTTGGTTCAGGAATACCTTCGTCTGAAATTTGACGGCTATGCTCTGTTGATCACGGCAACGAGAGTAGCTAATCATTTGGTGGTAGCTACTAGAAGCAGCATATAGCATTCTTTGGCAACTTGGGAAATGGAGAAAATGAATTGAAACAACGACGAATGGGGCTTTGACAGCTAAAGGTGTTACTATGCTGGTATCATCGTGCAGCTAGAAATGGAACTCGGTATGCGTGGCAGCGCCTAAGCTGTATCCCGAAAACCATTCTGTATGACGCCCTTGCCACTTATTTCGCTCTGAACCTAATCTCGCCACGCCCGAAAGATCTACTTGGCCACAACACTCATCTTGTTTTCTCCCAACCTACCCACCCGCTACCTCCTCTTGCGATGAAGTAGAAGATGCCTAATGACTCCCACACCTAAAGCTCTTCAACTTGCTCTTGGCCGGCGTCACCTCCTCACCGGGATAACTCACAAACTTCAACACCATCTTGCCCTTACAGTCCTCGCCCTCAAAGACATCACAGTTGACGCCGTTATCCGGACCGAAGGAGTGGATCTCATCCCAATTTTGGCAAGCATTGCCGTTCTGCGGCGCGTACCAGCAGTTACCTTTCCAGTGCTCTTGGTTGCAGAGGAGGATGCCCTTGTAGCGGGGCCTGCGTTTGGTGAGATGGAGGTCGGTGCTGGTGCCGGTGCCTTCGAAGTTGGAAGGGGGGACAGTGGGGGTGTCAGCAGCGGGATAGGCGTTGAAGTGTTTGAGAGCGATAATCTCTTCGGGGGAGGTGGTCGGGTACTGTGTCATCACGGTGGTGACAGTGAAGGCGAGGAAGAGCGGAAGGATGACGGATGGGGTGGTGATGTGCATGATCACTTGCTTACTTGCTTGCTTGCTTCTGGTCCTACCTTTGGAGAAATTCAAACTTACTTGGATGAGAATGGGGTTCTAGTTGAAAAGTCAGTTGGGGGCATCGTCAGGACTTTATATCGATTCTTGTAACGTCGAGACGATTCTCAAAGAGACAGTGGCACGACTTTCGCATTCGGTCTATGAAGCAGTTTCAAAGGAAGGTGGAAGAAGCAACAGCTGAACAATACTAAGCAGTGTTAGGAGACAATGTAGAACAATACTAAGAACCGCTTTCGGCGAAATTGTTCAGACCATGGTTAGCGGAGTCTCTAGAGCAAAGCACCCGTAGATCTCTTTGTCGAGTATGAGAGTACGAGTGCTGACGCGAGCTGAGGGTGCTCAAAGTATGATTGATGAATACTCTGATGCTGGAGAGTGGTGCAATGATTCGTGGATGCAGGAAGACCCTTCGCAATGGTTAATACATATAACATATACAATATAGATTAGTTTACTATATACAGTTAGAGTAAAATCAATAGTATACTAACTTTTAACCCTTCTCAAGTCTAGATAGAGATCCCTTAATCTTACAAGAAAGGTCGCATCAGCATACGCTGATGGTTACATCACTATAAGGCACTCGTTACATCACCCGCTCTACGCTTGGCCGACTGTAGCCTTGGGGGAGCCATCTTTAGTAGAATCCGCAGGGCAGGGCTGAGATCCTGACACACTGAACATCCTGTTAAACTGTGTTATGTCATTTACTTAAGATGCATGCCTCCAGTCCGAAGAAGCTTTAATACCGGTCCCTTGTTGGACTGGTCTCGCCTACATGTGAGCAACATAGCTCATTAGAGGAGAATACCGCCGCCATATAAGACTGCAGCAGAATTTTACAGTAGATCACAAGAGCATTAAGTTAGTCATGTGATAACAGGTTGATGACATCAGCACCAAGTCAAACAAGTTATTTAGTGATACTTTTAACGATATATCTACTATATATCTACTCGTTATTTAGTACTGGTACGGTTACAACGGTACGGCTGTGCTGTTTCCGAACGCTGCTGTGACTGAACTCGTTCGTTTCTCATTCCCGAAATGCCCCAATACGGCCTCCACATTCCTTTTCCTCGCACAGAGTGTTGTTCAACAGTCATCATCCTCCTCGTCACCCGCTCGACCAATTTAGTCGTCTAACTTACTTATCTTCAACGCAATGATAGTGGTCAAAGACTCCCGATTTCCGCAGCCACAAACCTTCGGTAGTCACAGATGATAAGCTAGGGATTTCACCCGCCTCCTGTCCACCTATGTTGCACCTTCCTGCCCTGGACATGGGTCACTGGACCAAAGTAGTTGCGACGGGCCACCAACATAAAGTGCACCCCAGCACCGATCAAGGTGGCGGTGAAAACGACTGAGGCCCAATTGAAGGTTTCCGGTACAACAGGATTGTACATTGGCCAGAATGCCCAGAAGAAAGCCCATAGGGCGTAACAAACCCCCGCGATATTGATAGGGACGCCGAACTTGCCCAAAGAGAATGTGGCCGGTGGTAGCGTTTCAGGACAAGCGATCCGGCGCCACAGGATGCAACCAATACTAAGGCAATAGCACTGGAGAAGGGCCACAGTGAAAAGAGAAGCCATAGCATAGAAGGCGACGGGGCTTCCAATGGCGATCAAGCTGAGGCAGAAGCTGGTAGCACTGGTAACGATGATGGCGTTCCTGGGAATATGTCGCTTTTCTTCAACCTTTGAAATCCAGCTTGAGAAGGGGAAGCCTTGGTCTCGAGCGAAGGCCCAGATATCTCGAGTAACTGCCACAAGGTACACGATGTTGGAGCAGACCACTAGGAAGAGAGTAAATGTAAGAATGACGGTTATCCAATTGTTAGACATTGACTGTCGAAGGACGTGGATGATAGGATATGATGTCGGGTCGGCCAGCGCTTCGTCAAGATTTGGAGATGATAGGCAACGGTGATAAAAGATGTGAATGCCAGCAAAGAGTTGATGACCCAGATGCAGATCATCGCTCTTGGGATCGCTTTTGAAGCGTTCTTGACCTCTTCTGACACGTGTGCAGCCTGCACAAATATTAGAAGCAATACAGCTGGGACATTCGGGTGCACTCTACAGTGTCAACACCAATCTGAGTAAAGAGACCTGTCTGCTGACCAACGAGCACTGCTAATCCTATACTGGGCCAGCCACCTGAGAATGTGAACTCAGTCCAAACCTGGCTGGATGAGGCTCGTGGCGCATTCACCCAGATCGGGATGATAAATGCAAGATAGACCAAAATGTGGAGAATGAAGACCACATTCTGCCAGAGATGCAGATATTTAGCGCCCCAGACGTTTGCGATATAAGCGATACAAACCGCCATCATGGCAAGGAGTGTAGTATGCCACCGAGTAAATGCATAGAGCGGATGGTGGAGGGAGATGATAATCTGAACGATAATGCCAATGAGGAAAACGCCTTGGGCATTTCCCGCCTGCCACGCCATCGTTGAAGTCCAGCCACAGGATGGTTAGACGCCTAGAGACCGAATAAAGATGGGCAAAGTACATACCCAGTCAGGTAACTTAGACTTCTTTGGCAACTTTCAGGCGCGAACTCGCTCACCCAATGATACTGAGCTCCAGCGATAGGTGCCATGCTGGCCATTTCGGCCATGCTTAGGTAAATAGGTGCGAAGCCAACGAAGTTCCAAATCATCGAATAGATCAGTATGGGGGGACCACCGTTGGTGAGGCCTGAGGTGAGGTTGAAGACAGTATATTCCCATGCGCCTGTAGCAACAGCAACAAATGGGGTCGTAGATAGGACTCGAAAGCGCCGGACGAGTTGTTGATCCTTTCCCATCCGCCGCATGTTGGCCGCATCAGCAGGCGTAGATTTGAACACGTCAGAGTCGTTAGACTCGGAGTCGACAACGACACTCGCAACGCTGACGTCGGACTCGTCCTTCTGTGGTTGAACCCTCATCTCCATCGCGTCACCTGAGGGCCCGGAAGATAAAGAAGTAGCCATTCTGCAAAGAGCATGGAGGGGCAAAGGATAACGAAATCTAGATAAACACAAAACAAGATGGTTGAGGAAGAGATCGGGAGTGCAGGTGTGAGACCACGTACTTGTAAAGACAGAGGATAGCACTCTCGATGGTTGGTGAACCAGAATAAGCCCCACAACAACCTTGTCCTTTGTGCATAGGCCTTCGGGCCGAATCCTCATGGGATGAACATGCAACTAGCCTTATTAGATGCAAAATCTGCTACTTCTTGTCTCTACTTGTAGCAATTGCAAACCTTCTGAGAACTCTATGGTCCTTCCGTGTGTTATGGTTTCATCGTTCCGTTTCTCCTTCCGTATCTCCTTGAAATGTTTGCTTCTAAAAACCATTATTTCGAACACCTTCCAGTCATTCAGGACGTTCCTAACTCTTGCGTCAATTACATGAGTACTTATCTGTGCAGCAGGAAGAAATGGCCCTGTTCGTTCAAAAAAGGTGCGCAGGGCGCAGAGATAAGTACGAATTTGCTGTACGGCACAGCAAAATTAGCCGCGAAATTGCAGCAGGAATTGACCAATCAAAAGCAAGAAAAACCCAGGGATAACGCGTACGAAACGCGGCCAATGAGCGCTCCTGCCATTTGACAATTATCCCACGCGCTGGCCAATTTGGTTCCCTACTAACTAGCGTCAAATCTTCAGGGCAACGACGGCATTAGGAAACCAAGTTGGTCAGTGCGTGGGATAGTCAGTGGCCGGCGATGCATATTTAAAACTGGTAATAAAAAAATCAATCTGCTTGAGAGTACTGCCGATTCAAATGCGGATACATGCAGCCTAATTCTTCTGCCTGCACCTTTTTGTCACTTTCAGCGTTATTTGTCTTTTGTTTCAATTCATATGCCCCAGTAACAGACATCATCTCAAGGTCAAGAGACAAGTGTTGTATCTCTTAAGACGCATGCCATTGAAATAACAGTATGGAGTCGGCTTTGGATAATATCAACTACTGTGGCCTTAAATTGCGGCATTTCTTCGTTGCTGTTGTTCGTTTCTTTGCTCGTTCTTTGCTCGTTCTTTGCTCGTTCTTTGCTCTTATGTGGTTCTGGACTCATTGTAATGTCATCTTACTCATGGCTGCTACGCAGCAGCCAGCGTCTAGCAATATCATATCAACAAGTGCAATTCCCTTGGCATACCATATTGCGCCTGAAAGAGGATCCGCAACAGCCAGTCAAACATCACCCAGCTGAAATCGCCGCAAGGATTTAATTCGTGGTCAACGATAGTTCACGTTCTGGGCTTGAACATTACAACAGCAGGCAACGCCAGTTCACCTAACGGCACTCAGTCCTCTTCAGAGTTGGGGTTACTGAGACTTCTATTTGGTAAAACCATTCATTGATTACATGTCGAGAACTCAGCCAGAGGATAGAGACTACATCTTGCGCGTATGGCTTGGTCCAGGCCTGGATCCCGAGCAATTGAACCATTTTATGAAGTTCTCGAACGAGTTGTACAATCGAAACTGCTCGAATAACGTTTTGACAGCCGCATATTCAGTCATGCCTCACATCCCGTCTTTTGGACGCGCTACAGACTCAATAGTTCAATCAAACCCTTGTATTGCATGGCTCGTTTGGGGTGGCGCTCGATTGCACATTGAGTAACCTTCAATGTGTTTCACCATGTTTTTCGCTGGTGCGCACGTAATGACAACTTCTTTGGCCGAGAGGGAGAGATTGCTAACCTTCATGATAAAATCGCTACCAGAACACTAGAAAGCCCCAACATCAGACTTTCTAGTATTGTGCTCCGTGGGATTTTGAAGGTCTGGAAAATCGTCGACCGCTCTCGAAAATATGTGTTAATATTGTGACACGTATCCGGTTATCATTCCTCTCTATGCGGACAAGAAAGACAAGTTGGAGGGTCAGCTCAGCCAGTTGGTAAGGCTTCTGGGGCGTGCTACTGATGGAGGCAATGCGGAACATAGTGGCTAAGCTGTATTTCATTGGATTACTCACCTTGATCGGAACATCTTTGGTTTTGCTTATTTGACCAACACTAAGGACTTCCTAGACGTCAACTGGCTTATGGTCTACGACAAGTCCAACGATATGTTGCTGTTGACAATTTTTTGACCTTCCTCAAAGTATGGCTCGATTTTCATCACCAGCAGGAACGCATATCCTGGGCGAGACGCCCTTTCAACTCTGGATTACAAGTAACGACATTCAGTGTTGATCAAGGTGCTGAGTTCTTTCTGTACTTCTTGACAGGCCTTGCATCACCGACTGAAGAAGACAGAGACGCGGCAAAGGTCATGTCGCAAAGATATGATGGCCTTCCTCATGTTATTCGTCAAGCTGCCTACATCGTGTGAGAGAGTTTCCTACAACCTTATAACCCCGAGAAAGAGAACAGCGAGAACGAGGACGACGATGATGGTCATGATGATAACAAGGGTATGTGCGGTTACCGAGACTGCAATTGCGAACCGGGTTCAGAATTTGTTTGCATTTAGAAACGACCCTGCGAACTCGAGTCAAGCTGAGACTGTTCTATATACTACGTGCTGGATGTGATCCAAATTTACACAACATCTTAAATCCGTCGCCCAGCAATCATGCCATAAAATACAGGTTTGTTTTTCGAGTGGCCATGGGCTCTTAAGCATAATAACTAAGTCTACGACGAAACTTCCCAAAAGTAGATAAAGAACAAGAATGACAGCTGGAGGAAAGGGTTTCCCCGAAGAAGCTACGCGGGAGAAAGTGACACATGAGAGAGAAGGTCGGGGAAAAATACGTTCTATCTGCCGATCGAAGCGATCAATCGAATCCTAAGCTGAGAGAAGATGGCTTAGAATGGCTGTGGATGGTAGTAGGGGAACGAGAAGTCCAATGATTTGGGGGCGAAATACCCAAAAGAGGGGCCTGAATGTCGCACTAATGCAGTGGGGCGCTGGCTGCTGGAGTCAGGGACACCTGGGGACATGGAGTGAAAGATATGTCGGAAGATTTGGATGAAATGGTCAGAGGTTGACGTCAGGTTATGGAGAAATTGGTCTGCCAATGTCCCCTTCGGGAGCGCAGGGCCTGAATGGGCTCCGACAGTGGCGATTCCATCCATGCGCAACATTTTCTTAGTGAGTGGTAACCGAGTATCAAGGTGAGCAGAGGACATCAAGACTGGAGCTGTGGCGGTGTTGGGGAGCGGAGGCTGAGCCGAAGTTGAGCCAGCAAGGAAGTTCTAACTAACAGCCTATCCAACAGAGGACGTAGGACTCGGTCAAGATTGGTATGCTAATGCCAGAGCCACATGTCACTAAAGACAGCTGTACTTGATACGAGTGTGACCGCTGTGAAGACCAGGTGGAAGACGCGCTGGGAAACATGGTAGGATTAAACAGACACAACTCGAAATTGATACATACTCATACAACCGATTGCTGCGATGATCTATCTCCTTCGTCCACTTTTGCCATAAGCATTGCTGCTATCGGAGCCACCATCAACCAACCCTCTCCAGACCTCCCCCACGCTGACGCGGTTTCTGGGTAGCATTGAGTATTGAAGACCATACATCTCGCCTCTTCCGAGTGGCGGCACAAATCTGCCAGTGACAAGCCGGAAGACTACTTGTGGTGATAGGTAATGTTTGCGGATGCGAGAGGCGATATGCGAATATTGAGCAAATATCTGATAGAGAGAAAGTGGTGTCGCGGAGAGGTTGACGTAGGACACGTTTCTAGAGGGTAAATGAGCAAATTCGCTATCCACGGTATTGCTATCTGCCACGGATGATGAACACTGATTTCTTGTAGAGAAAGGATCCTGGTAAAGCGTGAAATGGACACCGCCAGGCAGTCTTTTTGGATCCTTGACTCGCAGCATCAATGCAAAGAGCGGAAAGTGGTTCAAGCAAGCCAAAAATGTGTCTAAAAGAGCTTTGAGAACGATGATGCTCACTCTTGCAAAGGCAAAGGTCAGGTAGAAGACCACAACTGTCGGCAGGAGGAAGAACAGTAAAGTGAATAAAATTGTGCCTAGAAGCAATTGATCCAAATCGTAATCACACGAATCGATACGATGGCGTAGAACATTTCGCTTCTTCCCACGAAAGAGCTGGAAGAGCGAGTAGATAATGGTCAACTGCCAGTTGAAAATTCGTGCGCTGGCGATGTAAAAACAGTATATGTGCAGCGTGAGAAGGCTGAGCAGGTCAGAAAGAATTGCTATGGGCATGCTAGCACCAGCGAACGAGCTGAAGCCGATGAAATAGACGATTGTAGGGAGGTAAGGTGTGACGAGCGTTGTGATAATCTGGTTCCAGCACTCAATCACCCAGAGAGAAAGAGCCCCGAGGAAGTCCGCCAACTCCCCGTTCAGCTTGAGGCCAGCAGGCCACCCCATAAGCCACGTTATCATACGTTCTAGGCCAGAGATCGTATACTGATTTAGCGAGGTCCCGAGAAAAGCAGCGGTATTCTGGTGGCTTTCGATTATATAGCTGCCTAGAGCTATGCCAATGATAACATCATTCGCAACTAGCCATAGAGAGTTGTAGAAGCGAATGTAGTCTGCGTGAGAGGTGGGTATGGATGACCAATTCTGTTGACGGCGACGGAGGAGCATGTATTGAATTGGGTAGTACGAGAATTGTTGAAGGCGGATGTGAATCTGTTGAAAGGCTGCAGATAGGTCTTTGAGAGCATAGCTTGCACTTCCATGCGATTCGGCTGTGGGGGGATTAGGGTCTAGGTCTGGGGACGGAAACCTTCGGGGCGGTCGGAACTCGAGTATTCGTAAAACAATCTCGGCCAAGATTCGATGGGTGATAAGGCCGAGCAAGAAGGCTTTTCTGATAATTGGGTAGACGTATGTCAAGAAAAGGTTCCAGATGACGAGTGCAGCGTAGCTATAGAGTGACTGAGCAGATTCAACGACTCTTTCGCTCACGGATCTGCTTCGCTTCCGTCTTGATCCAATCAGTGGGGTATTCCTCTGCAACAACTTAGCCAGTTCGAATGAGCAATTGATCTGATTTAGGATGATCAGTAGCGCCTTCTCCTTCCTGGATGGTGGATGTCTAATGACTGTATGCAGTCTAAGCTTCTCCACGAGTTTTGCAATCCGAAGCCTCTCCTTTTCTTCGTCCATGTCTAGATGGCCCAGGGCAAGGGTAGTTGGCTCCCCATCGGGCAACTTATCCATTAGGGCTAGGGAAATGGGTTCGAGCGACATATACTGCATTTTCATCGGATTGGGAGAGTCGAAGGTGATTATTTGCACGGAGAATCCTGTGCTTGGTGGACAGTATATCTGTGGAGGGGCAACGTTTGAAAAGGTGAATGCGCGCAACATCGAGGTTTTGAACTCGACAGCAGAATTGGGATAATTGACGGTGCCCAAGACATGCATCGAATCCCTGGCACATGTCTGGAAAATCTGACGAATAGGATGTGGACTGTTGCGATAGAGGGAGCCCATCCGCAGAGCAGTCTCGACATTGCGAACCTAAAGGATGTTATATCACCATGTTACTTTTTCAGAGGCTTGGACATACCTCTGCCTCTTCCAATATTGTGACGATGAAGATGTCTGTTTCTGAGTTCCTCCAACCGACCATCACACCGGGTGTCATTGTCCCAGAGAGTCCATTTGGCCAGAATACCCGAAGCAAGCCATCATTGGCGATCATGCTCTCATTGTTGTACAGAATTAGAATGAACCTCGTCGACGCAGCTGCTCTCGTGCTGATATGCCTTGCTTTCCAGACCTTGGATGCTGTACGAGATCATCAACATGTTTCTCGGTTCCGAATACAAAGGGCTTTACCAGTTTAGTTTCTCGAGATGCGACGCGCTCGATTGGTAGGAGGAAGAGGATAAAAAGTAGGGAAAGAATGGCAAAACCTTTGGCCACACGAGCCTGGACGGAGACGCTCATCAGTTTCCAAAGGTAGCTTATCAGGTGCAGAGATCTTTGTGCTCACGACTACACCGTGCTCCCAGGCGAAGATAGTTACAGCGTAAAGCTGCGCAATAAGATCCCACCTTGCAGTGATGTACCCTGCAACGAATATGCCAAGAGTGAGAATGGAGAAGGGGTGCATGGGCCAAGAAGAGCCTCCAGTCTTCACAGTTGAATGCTGCGATCACCACAAAGGCCACCGACTATGGAAAGTTCCGGTCATAGAATTGAGAGGCCACGCTGAGGTCAAGGAGCCCCACAGGAGGTAATGGTGGGTGGCGCACAGATGGCATCATTTTTTATCGGCTATGAGTGATGACATGATGGCGAAACATCTTCTGGAAGTGCAAGAAATACGAACCATGCTGATGCAGTGCCGCAAAGCTGTCTTGTGTGTTGGAGGCAACTTGGTTGACTGCGGGTTCAACTGCAACATGTCAATGACCTGCGTGCCAAACTAGTGGAATTGCAAGCGTTGGCTAACTTAACTTAGCCTTAGTCCAGCCGCGACAGACTCGGAAACGTGGCTTGACAGGCCTAACCAAATGTGACGCCAGCAACAACTTGAAATTGCAAGTATCAGCCGCAAATCAATCAATATGACCATTCAAACACTCAGACGCGCCACGAGTCCAACAAATTCAAGGCCAGACCATCCAGCCGGCTGACCTTGACAACTCACCGAGTCTCACTAACTTTATGCCGCAAAATATGGCAAGATGTAAAGCCCGAGGCCCATTGATAAAATTGGTGTCGCTCTTCTGCCCCGAGATTATGTGCCAAGAGCGACACCAATTCTGTACTACAGCAGGAGGCATAATGTTTGTCACCTACGCACTAGTAAGTAACGTCATCAACAGCGCTCGTACAGATACCCTGTTGCTCTGTACGAATACTCACTGTCGCCATTCTACGGGCAATTTATTGATTTTACGCGTTATTTTACTGATCCTACTGAGCTCCTTAAGTTAACACCAAAGAGATGCCAGGTAGTAAAAGATGCAGAAGGACGGCATACTCGATATTAAGAAAAAACTAGACTAGTCCTAATTGAGCGATTTTGTGGCGCTATATCTTGGCGTTACAAGTAGTTACTAGTGCGCAGGTGACAAACATTATGCCTCCTGCCGTAGTAAATGGGCCTTGGCCCTTGATGGCTTGAGGCAAACAGATTGCTCAGATACCGACACTTTGGACGCGTCATACTGTCTGCATGAAAACAAGGTCGGAGATTGAATGTTGACGTTTCAGCTTAACGCCGGAGCGCGAAACCATGTACCAGATCCTACGGCATCGAGATTCCAAATGACCAAGCGTGGCATAATCCGTATTTAGTGCCTCTTCGCCTAATCGGGCACCCAATTGGCTTAACGCTGGCGAGACCTCGACGGGCCAAGACAGGAAGCGATCCTTCTGCATAAAGAGTCCTTCCCCGGCAGAATACCTTCACCATCTATCGTTTCGAGGACAAACTGAATCGCTCCGACAAGCGAGATGGCAGAGGCGGTTTGATATCTCCGCCGTCCAACGGCATTATCAGTGACAGCCATGCTGTGTTTCCCGAGGTGGCTTGCCAGTCCCCAGGCTTGTCTTTACAGCTGCAAATGATGTTGCTTCGTCTAAGGCCGTATTGTGGTCATTTGCATGCGAGCTCAGCTGGCTTCGAAAGAGATAAACGGAAAGCTGACGGATGCCTGTAAGACACTTATATGTCGTTCCTTCCTATATGTGTGTTGTTGTTGCAGCCCCCAAGGCCCCTAACGGTGACCCAAATTTGTTGAACAGGCTATATTGATTCATGCTTCTGGTCGCCTTGTACTTCTGTTGTCCATTCTTGAATGTTCCATTGAGAACTCTTCGGAAACGCACATCCTTCACTGCCTGCTCTTCAATATCTTGATCTCCCTTAGAATTGCCCAGCACAATGCAAATACAATCACTTACCACCACGCATACTCGCTCGCCGCCCAGCTACAGTCTCAACGTAGAGCTCGATACCGGCAACAACGTCACCAGCCGGCTACTAGATCGGGCATGCACCCAACCAAGGTCTTGCCGCCGACAGAAGCCTACACTTTTGAGCACAAAGAGAAGTTCAAAGACTCCCGGTCCAGCGTGCTCATGGCGCGAAAGAGTTCTGGAGCTTTTCGACCCTGCATTGCGTGATGCAGAAGACCTGATGCTGTCACTTCCTTACACCGATATTAGAGAGAAGACTTACAATTTTGCAACCATCTTGGATGGAGTGCCGTTGTCAGGATCGGAAAGCGTCGCAGCCAGACACCTGTCAGGCAATTCGGCATCTTGCAAAGCACGAAGCAATTGCACCACTTCAGCAACGACATATTTGTCACAAGGAGACCGCAGTACGGCATTACCTCATGGTGGCGCTCTGATACCTAGGCAACGTTATAATTTGCCTTCTATGACTAAGGCTATGTACGTGGCACTAACTTCCAATTCTATCGATATGCTGACGGCTACTAGCTACACTTGCTACGAATCTGTAGTCGCCATCGTCGCAAGCTATAATCAAATCTTGGGCCACGACACCGAGATGCAAGCTCGTAGGGCTCTTACTGCGGCCCTGGCAGCAATGGACAACATCGCGTCATGACCCTTTGAAGACATAATATCTTGCGCAGCCTAAAATGAGCAGATGGAGCCAGAGTCTTGCCAGTCTTCCAAGGGCCGCAAGAGTATTAGTTCCGATGACTTGAAATTGGCCAAATGCATTCGAACAGATCACACAATCACGAAGTTTCCTTAGCCAGCCTATCCAGTGTCATATGATCACGAACTTGTTGAATAGAACACCTCCAGCGTTCAAGTGAGAGGCCGGTGTGCATGGCGTAGCTCCTTCGAAATACATTTACTGGGGTTTAGAAGGAGTCGCTGGCCGGATCGCGATCACCCTCGTGGTGGGGTGAAAATACGAGTGCGTCCGAAGGGTTATCTATGACGCCATCCTATCAGCTCAATGCATGTACACACCTGTTGCTTGGAGTCTTTCCCAGTACTTTGGGGGGAGGATCAAAATGATTACAAAACCAGAATTCAAAAACCATTGCTTGATAGCACACGATTACCACTTTCTCTCGTTGTCGTAGCCGTGGTCATAGTAGTAAGTAAAGGTCCCTCAGTTCGAGTTGACGCTTACTGCGGTAAGAGGCAATAAGTATTGTTAGCGTGGACTAGTAGTAGCTAGTCTTTGATGCAAGGGCTCGGCATCCTCCGGAACGCTACTGCAGTACGTACCATAGTAGTAACTCTTGACCCTTCAGTAATGATAAAGATTGGTCCTGCCCTAGACTAATTCATTCTCTTTACGCGGGGTGCATAATCTATCACGGCTGCGTCAGATATAAAATTCTTGCTTGGAGCTAACAATACATATGCCTTCTACCGTAGTAGGGTTACTAGTATTAGTAGTCTTAGTAGGTGTACTACGTTAGTGAAAGCCTTTGCCAAACTTTGAAGGCCAAGAAGGGGATGCCAAGGCTGGCTTTGTCACCACCGGCCGAGCCTTCAGGGTCCAAGGGTTGCAAATGGTCCGACTTAAAGTTGTTCGACCAACATCACGGCTTCATACCTTCACGCCTTCACGCCTTCACGCCTTTGCACCTTCCATATTACCTGTTTATCTCGTGATGATCTTCATCTCCAGCACAGTGTGTCTATCATGGCTCATTTGCTGAGGGGAAAGCAAGCTGGTGTGCAGAAGGACCTGTCTTCTGGCCTAACACCGGAGCTCTTTGCGATCGACGATGTGCGTCAGCCATTCTCCCTCAGCTGCATTAACCAACACCCTAGATCATAGCTTGTCCGTTATGGCGTCAACTCCCAGCTTGCCGCCCTTGCATACGACCCCGTTCAGTCGCTGTTGGCCGTGGGGACCAATGACTCCCAATTCGGTGCTGGCTTGATATACGTCTACGGGCAGAAGCGAGTCTGCATGACCCTCTCCACACCACGACGGGCATCCATACGACAGTTGCAGTTCAGCGCCGACAAGCTCATAAGCTGGGATAGCAAGAACGATGTCTGCGTATTTAGTTTGGAGACCGGGAGATTGGTTGCCAGCTATGCGCCACCAGGACATGTTACAGCAGTGCTTACAGATCCGAGCTTGGACTACTGCTTCATAGGCATGCAGAATGGTGGGTATGAATGCGGCATTCGAACAGCCAACTCGTCACATATGCTGACTAGCACGAACAGGTGACATCGTGACGTACGACCTCGATCGGGACACCTTGACTAGCTTCAGAATCCCCAATTTATTGAGGCAAGTCAATCCGCGGTCGAAGCTCGTGCCAGTGGTATCGATGCAACTTCATCCACGCGATATCGGCACCTTGTTGATTGGCTATACAGAGGGCGCTGCGCTCTTCTCCTTCAAACAGAATAAAGCAACCAAGTTCTTTCAGTACGAGATCCCGCGAGGTGCACCAGGAGGCGATCCAGATGTGGCCGGCCTGCATGAAGTACGACGGCCGAGATTGTCGCACGCGGTCTGGCATCCCACTGGAACATTCATCCTTACCGCACATGATGATTCGAGCCTCGTCTTCTGGGACCCTCGTGACGGACGAATTGTGGAAGCCAGAACAATTCAGACCACGAATATTCATGTGCCTGGTGGGGGAGCAACAACTATGGATAGCTCGCCTGGTATCAAGTCTATGAAGCAGCCATACTTCGATATTGCTTGGTGCTCAAAGGAAAATCCAGATGACACTGGTTTGCTGATTGCAGGAGGGACACCAACTTCCTGTCCGACGCCAGGCTTAACTTTCTTCGATCTGGGCCCGACACCTAATTATCAAACTTCTTCTTGGGATGTCCTTGCCAATTACTTCCGGGTTCCGAGGCGCACGCACATCCTTCCCACACCGCCAAATGCCGAAATTGTAAAATTTCTATTGATACCTAGGTCGACACCTCATTACGCTGGTTCAAACGATCCAATTGCGGTCATTACGTTGCTCTCCTCTGGGGAGCTGATCACTTTAAGCTTCCCTTCTGGAAATGCCATTACACCTACCAATCAGCTCCATGTATCCCTCACTTTCGTGCATCCTTTTGTTACCAGGATTGCTCTTGCCTGTGTTGACCGTACACGGTGGCTAGGGACACGAGAATCCAGACAACATGGCCCCAATTTCCTTCTTGGAGGTGCAGAAGAGACCAAACCACTAAAGCGGCACGAGAACCGAAACATAGTCCAGGCTGCACACGCGGATGGCACCGTTCGAGTCTGGGATGCCGCACATGGTGATGAGATCGAGAACAGTGCTGTTCTGCAAATAGATCTTGCAAGGGCAGTTGGCAGATTCGAAGACATTGATGTGACACAAATGAGCATGAGTGGCGCAACTGGAGAGCTTTCTATAGGTCTGCAGTCTGGAGAAGTGGCGATTTTCAGATTGAACCAAAATCCACAGTCTGGAAGAGAACCTCCTCCACCAAAACCTAATGCGCCACCTGGAAGGCTAACAAATATTGTTGAGAGAGCTGATCCAGTACTGAAGGAGGGGCTACTTCCTTTGACGCTCCTGAATGAACAACAAGGACCTGTGACCGCTCTGAAGCATTCCGATGTGGGCTTCGTTGCCGTTGGATTTCGAGGCAGTATTGCTGTCATCGATCTGAGGGGACCTGCTATCATTCATACCCAGCTCTTGAGTGATCTAGCACCAAAGAACAAGAAAGCCAGCATTCGAAGAAGTAACAGTCACGCGTCTGGGGGTGAAGAAGTGCCAACAGCTGTGGAGTTCGGTGTCATGACACTTGATGGTGATGGTAAGGTTCGTGTCCCTCCAATGTCAAGCGGAATTTAACGATACGGTAGACTATTCCTCAATATTACTATTCGTGGGAACATCACTGGGCCACTTGGAAACCTTCAAGATCTTGCCAGCAAGCAACGGAACGTATAGCGTTGCGTTTGCAGGGGTGGCCTCCCTCGGCGACCCAATCATCTCAATCTCCCCCATCAACGCGGACTCTGGCTTTCCAGCCTATGCCACCCAGTCTGCAGTCGGCAGTTTAAAGACCGGCAACCGCATCAATGGCGTTCTAGTTGTCACTACCACAACGGGGGTCCAAGTCTTCAAGCCCGCCAGCGCCCGAGGCGCCCACAACTGCCATAACCAGCTTCAGAGACCGAGGCGGCGCCCTTGTAGGCCTGTTCGGTGACGGCCATGCTCGCGCCTATTCCATCCCAGCTCTAAAAGAAATCGGCAGCGCCAAGATCTCGCACGTCCTCGACGTGAAGCGATTCCGCGAAGCCATCATAACCCCGACGGGTGATATCCTCGGCTGGACGGGCCCCAGCGAGCTAGCCCTCTCCTCAACGTCTGGGGCACCGGCCAAAGCCTACCTCGCAGTCAAGACCGCCTGTTCAACCCCTCGGCCCCCATTCCCCCTCGCCCCACAATTTCCAATCTCCAGTGGATCAGCGGGACGCAGTACATCACGCCCTCGGACATGGATATCCTGATCGGCGGGCCCGATCGCCCGCCCAGCAAACGCATGCTCACGGAGATGCGCGAGGCGGAGAGCGCGGCGCGTGCCGCTGCCCGATCAGGCAAGCCGCCTCCGCCCGGGCCCAACGGTGAGCAAGAGGGGTATTGGGCGTATATGCAGAGGCAGGTGCAGGAGCGGACGGAGAGGCTGGGCCTCATGGACGATCAGATGGGCCGGCTGGAGGAAACGAGTAGCGGCTGGGCGAACGATGTGGGCAAATTCGTGCAGAAGCAGAAGCGACAGATGGTCTTGGGTGCGATTGGAAGTAAGCTGGGCTTCTGATAACCAACTCCTTACTACTACTAGGCACGAGTAAGCTCTACTAGGGGCGTTATTTGATATGAGTTGGAGAAAACGTACGTGTCGGGAACGGAACGGAATGGACCCGGTACTTTGCCTTTACATGCATGATAGCTTTGAGATAGTAGTGCTCGTAGATGGGTCAAAGGTCTCCTAGAACTATCATCACACTTTCTGCTTAACATGACAAGAGTTGATGTTCGTATTACAAGCCAGCCAGCCAGCCACAGACAGCCAAAGCCAGCACAGCTGAGGACTCGAGACTCGAGACTCAAGAAGACCCGCCATGGGCCTTCTGCCTCTCCTCCGCGACCGCCAGATCATCCATGCGGGCCTGCACCTCGCGCATGCGCCTGACGTAGGGATCGGCGTCATCATCTTGGACCTGGTCGTGCATCTTGTCCTTGTCCTTGTCCTTGGCGTCCTCCTGATCCCCTCCCCCCTGGCGATCGAGGACGTGCCTGCCCTCGTCGACGACGAACATGGTGGCGTCGTCGCGGCGCTCGACGCGGCCGCCCCAGCGCGCCACGAACCTGTCCCAGAGCTCGCGGATCAGGCGATCGCGCTCGGTGATGAGGAG